TTTAATATTTAAAAAAAACTTTTTTTTACATGTTCCAAGTTTAGTTTACAAAAAATTTGTTTATTTTCATAAAAAATGATTTTATTACATATTTCATAAAGGGTATCTTACCAGTCAATAATCTACTGCAAATTACTATACAAAATGACACAAAAAACATCAAAAACAAATAAAGCAAAAAAGTAAGAAAACAAATAAATAAAAAGCACGAAAAACAGAAGCGAAACAGTAACAAATTTCATTAAATAATTAATTTAGCCTCGTTAATATGAGACGCTTGTCTGCGGGGCGCTCACGTGAATTTGTTTAGATAAAATGCGTCACAATTAAATGGCAAATAAAAGTGGTAAAAAGTAACAAACCGAGCAGCAGCTGCTCGTCGAGGCTCACCTGTGTGCTGACCGAGCAGACTGGCTGGACTCATGATGCCCAGGCACCGGTTTTCTCAGGTGTTAACAAATTATAGCTAATTATTAACAAATTAACTAACAAATTTTTCGAATAAGTTTCATTTGTTGCCTGTATAAAAATCAATAATCAAAATGTTTGCATTAAGCCTTAACACGTTTGACACACACACAGAGAGAGAGGGAGACAGTTGTAGAGCTGGTACCATCGAGCCCACTAAAGACCAGTAACCCGGTCGAAAAGTCGAGCTCAGAATCGATTGTCGCATTTGATGATGGATTTATTTGCACGCTAAACGCGGAACGGATTGGTCGTAAAGCTCGCGATTCGCTTAACAGTCGATAATCGTGCCGAGCGGTGACTGTGTGCGAGTGTGATGTACTATATAGTAAGCAGCCATAGCGCTAATAGGGCTCAATAGACCCATAAACCTGTTGGAATCTAGCTGCAATTGAAGCTAACGTAACTCCGCCTGCAGAGTCATAAAACGATGACGACCAAAGCAGACGAGGGCAGCCCAGCGGCGACAATGATGCCTACAGCCATCGGCCGACCCACCAGACCCCCCCCACTAACCATCAACGTGCCGGTGGCCTCCAACGAGGCACAGACCCCCTCGCCTAGTCACCGGAGCTCCATTGTCATCGAGAGTCAGCCTAAGCGCCGTGTCAGCATTGCCCCCGAGACTCCGCCGCTGGCATCCAGTAATTCTGGCTTTGATAATCCCGCCTTTGAGCCAGTCTATATGCGTAAGATATCGCAGGTGAGTTGGGGTTGTTTAACGATTAACGACTTGCTTGATTGACCGTAAAGTTGTTGATTGAATGTGTGTGCTCGTAACACTCGTACTACATCCCCTATATATGTGTGAGTGCATTCATTGAATGACGGCATCTATAATGATGCTCGTAATTGTTGAAATGATCCGTGTGATCAAGTGATAAAAGATCAAGTGATCAAGCCACTGGGGCTTTACGCTCAATATTCAGTAATGCTCAAAACAAATTTGATTTTGATTCGCGACAGACCTCAATACATTCATACCTCGACAATGGACCTCTTGGGCGCAGGAGAAGCATCCTGAAGGACTCACCACTTCCAAACGACAATGACAGTGTCGATCGTATATCGATGCACAGTTTTGGTAAGTGCAAAATAATAAAATATTGCATATAATACAAGTACTATAATAATAGCTTTTTATTGATTTTTTTTAGTGTGTTCTTTATAGACTTAAAATGATCTATTAATATAGACTATAAATCGTAAACCTTTTTATTGCGAAATTTTCGTTTTGGATAATTTTATTCTTTAAGCAATGAGCAAATTAAATATTTGTGCTCGAGACATACGTCTATCAGAGAATTGCTGAAAATATGGACATGACTGTAAAAATCTCAGCGCATCTCGTGAATGACCAAAATGTGATTCATATTTGTGTTAAGGCTCTCGTCACGTCTGAGGATTAATAGCTAATTTTTTAATTAGTATGTGTGTTTTACGGAGCTCAGGGTAATAAAAAACGTGCGACTTTAGATACTCTGTAATCAATTAAATTGGAGTCAACCTCTGGAGTTTGAGAAATTTTCTGACTTACCAAGTGATTGATGATTATAAATATAAAATATTATAAGTGATAAGCTGGCATCTGGATTTTTCAACTGCTAAATCATATACCCTATGCTAAGTATAAAATTTTAATGAGCATACTTAAAGTTGCGTAAAAATGGAAGAGAATTTGTTAATAATTTTAAAATTTAAATAAAATATAATACAATTCGTTTTTAATTGATAAAATATAAATTTAAAAAAATATATATATATTGCCAGCGCGAGATATTAAAATTAAATAAATTCCCATAAATATATATTTAATATGTAAAATTTTGTCACAGCTGTATTGTAAAATATTCATTTCATAAATTTCGCATGCTCGCATGCTTATGCAGACAATACTGATGATGATTGATGATAATAATAATGATAGCATTGATAATTAGAAATATCTATTGAGGGCTAAAGAAGACATATGCCACACTTATCACCCAATTAGATGTGTTAGCTAATTCCTGAAGTCAATAGCGTAGTGAAGAGCTTTGATATAGACATATATTTGTGAATAATTTCAATTTCATTTCAACTTCCCATTTCTCAAGATTAAACAGTATCTATAGTCTAAAATCTTTCTCTCCCACAGAAAACTACAGACAGAGTGCGCTGGACGTGCTTAATGCCAAATACAATAATCTGCAAGCAGTACACGAATCCTGGCATAGCAATAGCAATTACGTGGAGCAATCGTGGATCTACAATTTATGCTTAAAGTGTCGCACAGAGGAGCCATCCGCCTCATGGGAGCCACCTTACTGGCAAAAGATATTTCCCTATCCGCTCTGCCCCACCTTCAGGACCTTCTCCCGCCTGGTCTCGCTCATTGCAATTGGTGAGTCGATGAATCCCATTAAAGAGTCTCTTTTGACACATCTCTCACCTCTGCAGGTGCGTTACTATGGATCGTCTCATTTGTGATCATTGGACATGCGGCTGCCCCTGGCGGGCAGCTCTTCGATCTGGTGGTGCTTACGGTGGCCGCCAATTTTGGTGGCTACATAATATCATTGACCACCCTGCCACGCCTCATTGGCATGCTGCTGGTAGGGCTGCTATTTCAGGTGAGTCTTAAGCCTTATTCATGTGATATCTTTTACCTTCATAATCAATTTGTGCTTCCAGAACGTCGGCTGGGTGGATCTCGATGGTGACTTCTCCAAGGTGACGACGCACCTGCGAAAGTTTGCCCTGACCATAATCCTGACTCGAGCTGGCCTCGAAATGGAGCCGGAAGCCTTCAAGAAGGTCTACAAAACGATTCTCAAGCTGGGCATCGTGCCCTGGATCGTGGAGGCGGCTGTCATGACGGTCATGTCGCACTATCTGCTCGATCTGCCCTGGATGTGGGGCTGCCTGCTGGGCTCCATCACTGCCGCCATCTCTCCGGCTGTCGTTGTGCCGTGCCTCTTCAGGCTGCGCACCAAGGGCTACGGCGTGGTCAAGGGCATTCCCACCTTGGTGGTGGCCGTGTCTGGAGTGGATGATGCCATCTCGGTGGCTATTTTTGGGATCATCAGCACCATCATGTTTTCGGATCGTGGGCAGGTCTACCTGATAGCCCAGGTGCCTGTCTGCTTGATAGGCGGCCTGGGCTTTGGGATCATTTGGGGGCTGCTGGCGCGCATCTTTCCCGAAAAGGGCGACGCCTATGTGGTGCCGCTTCGCACGCTCATGCTGTTCGCTGGCAACCTGGTGGCCATCTATGGCAGCGAGGAGCTGGGCTTCGAGGGCGCTGGCCCGCTGGGCGTGGTCTTCTCATCTTTCATATCGAACTACTACTGGTGCAAGGATGGCTGGACCATCGACGACAATCCCGTTGGCACTGGCTTCGAGATCTTCTGGATGATCTTCGAGCCCATTCTGTTTGGCGTGACGGGCGCCACGATCAAGATACGTGAACAGGACTCGGGCGTGCTCTACCTGGGCGCCCTTTGCATCTTCACAGGCGTCATTATACGCATCCTCATCACGGCCGGCATTGCCTTCGGCGATCGCCTGAACACCAAGGAGAAGTTCTTTGTGGGCCTTTCCTGGATGGCCAAGGCCACGGTGCAGGCTGCTCTGGGGCCTGTAGCTCTGAGGCATCTGAATGAGAAGTCCACAGACGACGAGCGTCATTGGGCCAGAATCGTGCAAGCCATTTGCATTTTTAGTATAGTACTGACGGCGCCTCTGGGTGCTATCCTCATCTCTGTGACTGGGCCCCGAATGTTGACGAAGACGAAACAAGCGCAACAGAATCTCACTGGCTGGCGTCGTCCCTCCATACGCGACATCAGCATCATCGACGAGGAGGAGGAGCGAGAAGATCCGGAGATGCCGGCGGACAAACAGACCCAGAATAATACCCAAAACAATTCACAGCATCCAAACTTTTCATATATTAGCAACAATTAATATGAGAATTGTATTGTTATTATTAAACTTAACAAAGTTGTGCCTAATTGTAAGGACTAAGTAAAGTATTAAAGTATAAAAATGAAATACTAGAAATGCAGCTTTTATCTACTAAAGTCATTTTCCATATTCCATAATCTATATGATAATCATATGGAATTTTTGTTTCTCAAACTAGGTGAGTACTTAAACAAGATAATGTCATATATGCAATTATTTAGTCTTCCTTATGTAAAAATCTTGTAAACTGAGTTTCATATCTAATTTATGTGTACGATATTTAGTTTTCCAAGTTTGTCCTTTCATAAATCAAAAATTAATTTTAGATTGTTCTGATACTAAGAGTGAACACATTCTGCCTGCTTCTCTGATTCTAGCTCTCAAAATTTCGCAACTTCCATTTAGGAATTTAAAAATATATGGTCTAAGAAAAGATTTTATTTAGTCTGCTTCAAAACAAAATATATTTTCCTAATTAATCTCACGATTCATATCGAGCGTGAATGAATTCGCATCACATAACGAAATACAGAGGGCGGACACAGAGTGAGAGCCCGCTGCAATTCACTATTAAAATATATTTTGTGGCATTTTGTTTACTTTGCTCGCATAGACTATAAAACAACAAACGAACTATTATTCAACTCATTTACGCTCACATTAAAGATAATTAAAGTGATTGAGATAATTGCTGAAGAACTAAAAATTGATGTACTAGAATGCTTTCTCCTAAACAATTAATTAAGTTTGTGTTATTTTAGCTTGCCTTTTGTTGTGGGTTGCATTCATTGTTAAATAGATTTAACTAGGTGTATTGATTATTTATAGGTTAAAATTTTGCATTTAATCCATTTCATTTTCTAATATAAGACTTAATTTGCATTCCCAAAGTGATTTTTCATAAATCTTTTTCATCTCGAAAAAAGAAAAGTATATATAAATAATATTTAGCCTTGAATTGTCTCAGAAGAAATCGATCCTTTACACATATGCTGCATAAAATCTATATCAATAATATAAATATAAGTCTTAAATACAAAGATCTTCAGGCCAATCAATTTATTTTATTATTTGTCTGTGATTAAAATTATAAATCATATATGCTTATAAATAGGTTAATAAGAGCTGGATATACCTTGCTTTCGGGTAATTTCATTTTACAAAGAAGTTATTTTCATAAAATTTAAGAAACATAATCATAGATGTTTCTATAATTATAAACCGGATATCAAATTTTGTGTTAGAGTGTAGCTTATAAGTATTTCTGTACCGATTCGCCCAGAATCGTTTCCAATTCCTGTACAGCGGTGCGTGTGTTTTTCTCGACAGGCTCGTGCTCATCCTCCAGCAGCTCGGCTATGAACGGCACCGTCTCGGGCAGGAGCGGGGCAAAGCTTTCGCCCAGCTTGCGAGCAATGGCCACGCTGGTGTTGAAGGCCAGGATGCGTACTTCGGGCGTGCTGGTGCGCGTCTTGAGCAGCACCTGATTGTTCAGCTGCTTCCAGAGCACATCATTGGTAGCCGCCGCCAGCTGGGCAATGCAATCAGTCAGCGTTTGCTGCAGCTGCTCGCGATCGCTGGCGATTACCAAGCTGTTCTCCAGCTGATCCACAAGTGGCGGCATCAGCTTGCGGAAGCGATGATCGTTGATGAAGTCACCGCTGCAATGCAAGAAGACGTGGTGCAATGTGCCAAGAATTGCTGACAGCAGCTCGGCAACATCCTCGACGTCCACATTCTCTGCAATCTCCTGGTGCAATGTGTTGTGCTCCTGCAGCAGTCGTGCAGCATCCGAAATCACGTCGTCGGCGAAGAGCACGAAGAGAGACTTGAGCGCCGCGGCAATGCGATTGGTCAACAGAAAATAAGTGAGCTGTGGCTCCAGTTCATTCCGCTCCATCGCCCACTTGTGCACCCGACCGTACATGGGCCGGAAGCTCGTCTCGGACAGCTTGAGTATCCAGGCCACGAAAGTCTCGCTCACTGATGCCTCAATCTGGGCGATTTGCTGCCGCGGCAGCTGACGTCCGCGCACCTGCAGCCGGAACTCGAGCCCCTGCAAGAATAGCTCGGAGAGCGCCTCCTGTACTGGCGCCAGTTCAGCGTTCCCGTTGTGCTTGATGCAAGGCAGCAGCAGCTGGTGCATAAGCACGCCCAGCTCATCGTAGGCCTGCGCCTCCAACAGACTGGCATAGATCGTGGCGCAACTGGGCACCAGAATACGCGCCTGCACGCCCTGTGCCACCGCCGACCAAACGTCAACGATGCGCAGCTTAAGCGCCTGCGTACGCTTGTCCTTCAGCAGCTGTGGATTCTCCAGCTGCACGGAGAGTCTTATGAGTGAGCCAATAATGTCCACCAGATAGGGTCCCAGGAATTGAGGTAGAGTGAGGAAGAGCTTGTGCATGGCTGTGTGGGGAGACAGAGAGAAGCATTTGATGAGTATTATTTCGTATGGGAATGAGATTTTCCTCACCTGTGACCAGAGCTGAGCAGATGTAGTCAGGTGTTTGCCGCTGGCTCACCAGTAGCTGAACCTGTTCCTTGAGCAGCTCGGTTAGCTGTGGCGCGAACTTGGGCAGCTGGGCGAGCGCGTTCGCCTTGATGCTACCACAGATCTCGACGAGCGTCAGCACCACATTGCCGACGACCGCCTTGGGCACGTTGGCGCGCCGCTTGGCGATGCGCGTCAGCTTGGCCAGCAACGTGCGGCACTCCTCCACATAGTCACGTCCGTGGCGATGGGCCAGCAACTGCATGGCCTGCAGTGCCGTCTGCTGCAGCTGCGCCTGCTGCGCATTGCTGCCGCCTGTACCGTCCAGGACGCCGTCAATAATGGCGCCCAGCGGCTCGAAGAGAATGCCGAATTGATGGGCCTCACACTGGCCGAAGTAATCGGCGGGCGGCGAGAGCTTGGTGACTAGCAGCTCCAGCACCTTGATGCGCACATAGATCAGGTCATGCTGAAGCAGCTCGGTGATCACATGGAGGAAGTTGTCGGGTGAGAGCAGCCCGATGGCATTGTCCAGCACATCGTGCACATGGTTGGCCAGCACGCGCCAATACTTCTCCAGCGAAGGCGTGCCCGCTGCCAGCTTCAGTGCATTGTTGACCACGCTCACATAGGCGAGCGTCTTGAGTATGAAGTCCTGGTAGAGCGGCTTCAGCTTCGCAAGCTGCGAGCGCTTCAGGTTGCCCAGCTTGGCCTGGAACTCGCCTGTGCTGCTCAGGCTCGACAGGTAGTCCATGATGAGGTACTTGTAGTGTCTCAGCTGTTTGAAGCTGCGCGTACAAAGGTCAAAGAGCTGCTGCTCCGGCGAAATATTCCTGCTGGCTGATGCTCCTGCGCTGGCCGCTTGGGTTTGGGCCTCCTTGCTCAGGGGCAGCTTGGCCAGGTAGTCCAGCAGATGCACACATGTGTCCAGGATGACCTCGGGCTGCTCGAAAATCAGCGTCAATTCGCGAGCGAACTCCACGCGCGTCTTGTCCAGTGGCTTTCTCGCCTTGCTGCCGGCGGCTGAAGCTGGCGCCTGCTCCAGCAGCATTTGCGACTCGAAGAGAATGCAGAGGAACTGCCAGAGATGCTGGCGCGGATTGAGCACACGGAAGAGCGTCTCATACAAAGGCAGACGACGATGCACAGGCACATCCGAGCAGATATCCGCGAAGACCTTCAACACGGCTATAACGAGGCGCTCGCGCTGCTCGCCCGACTGCAGCAGCAGTGTGGGCACAATGGTCTCCACCACGTTCCGGATGATGTGCAGGCTGAAGGCGTCGTCGTGGCGCGCCACTGTGGAGCCAACAAACGTGAAGATCTCCACGATCTTGTGCAGCACCTGCTGCGGATACAGTGCAGCGCAGCGAGTCAGGAAGAGTAGCGCGTGCTGCTGGGTCTGTGGATTCTGGGTATTGCGTAGGCACTGCACCACCTGCTCGATGCGGAAGCAGGACTCGGGCAGCACTTTGGACAGCTGCACGCCCGCTGCTTGGGACACCTCGCAGCAGTGCAACAGGCTGGACAGGATTAGCTGCTTGGGATACTCCGCCGAGCTGTGCTCTTCCAGCGTCAGGCACATCTGTAGCAGCTCAAAGAGCTGCGGTATGAGCAGCTCGGCGCCCACCAGTTGCTTCTTGTGCTCCAGCAGCTCCAACAACGTCATGCCCTGCTTCCAGCTGACGCAGGTCAGATCCAGTTTGGTATTCGGTGCGCCAGAACGACGTCTATCCGGCTGCTTGGGCGTAACAGTGCGGGTGCTCCTGCTGCACATGGTGGACAGCATGCTGACCAGGGGCTGGCACTCGATGGTGCAGTGCTTGAGCAGCCGATGGGCAGAGAGGAAGATGCTATCGTTGTCCGATGCAGTCGCTGCCTCCACTATGAGCTGCAGCAGCGCCACCTTGTGCTTGCTCTGCAGCTGGTCGTAGGTCTCTGGCGTCAGCGAGTTGAGCAGCACGCAGGGCAGCGGCTGCAGCTTCTGCTCCAGCTGCACGTAGGTGGTGTGGCGCTTGAAGCTGGCCTCCAGCAGCTGCCAGGCGGCGGGATTCTCAGTGAGGACAGTTCTGCCCGCCTTTCCCTCGAAGCGTTCGATGACAGCACAATAGATGTCGCTGTGCGGCCAATTCAGTTGCTCCAGCTGCGGCGTCTCAGAGCTGGGATCATGCTCGACCACGGCCCGCAGCGCTGCCTCGCCCAGCGGCAGCAGCGCCGTTAACAGCGTCTCGTTGTTCATGTGCTTCAGCGCCTTCAGCAGCGCCGCCGTGCAAATGGCCGGCTGTTCGACGTCGCAGACCAGCTCCAGCAGCGTCCGCCGCAGCTTCGCCAGCAGCAGCTTCTCGCGCGGCGTGTTCTTGCTGCTCTGCAGAATGGTGTGCAGTATCAGCGCGTACTGCTCGTGGTCCATGCACAGTTCACTCTTGCGAAGCAGCAGGCACTCTACCAGGTGGGCTACGTGCGTCTCCAGCTGCTTCAGGTCGAGCAGCTGCAACGTGGCCAGCGCCTGCTGGCGCAACGTTTGCAGCGGCGAGTTGCACGCGTTGGCAATGCGCAGCACGTGCATCAGGCTGCACTTGACGGCGAAGGGGCGTGGCCGCAGCACCGCCTGAAGCAGCTGAAAGCCGCGCACGCGCTGCAGCGCGTAGTCCGAGGCTTTGCTGTACAGCTGCGGCAGCTCCTCGTAGACATAGAAGTTGCACAGGAAATCTAGCTTCTGCTGCGGCTCCGGCAGCACATGGTTGAGGCAATCCTTGAGCGCGCGCGTCCACTCCCTGCGCTCGGCGGGCCCACAGTTCTCAGCATAGACTCGACTGCAGAGTGCATCCAAGAGCAGCAGACACAGACGCAGTTCGTCGTTGACTTCCGTCCAGGGCAGACCGGCCAGCTGGGAGAACTTTGTATTCTTGGCCAGCGTCTGCAAGAAGTCCGCGTACAGCTGCAGCGGCACAAAGTTCTTGTGGATGTTGTCGTTGCCCTCCTTGGCCACTCGGAACTGAAAGCCGCGGCTGTAGACGTCCAGGCGCTGCAGCATCTGCACACTCTCCTCTGCGCTCAGCTCGCGCTTCGCAAAGGCCGTGAGTAGCAGCAGCAGATGCGTCAGCTTGGACGCCTCGCCGCGCAGGTAGTCAACGCCGCCATGCTGCTCCACGCTCTCCAGCAGCGCCAACTGCTGCTTGCCCGGCTGTCGCACATCCGCGATGATGTCTAGGAACTGCTTGCGATGCTCCCACACATTGAATGCTCCATGCTCGGTGCTCACCTGCAGCCGCTCCAGGAAGGGCAGCTTGTTCACGAAATTGCTGCTCAAGATGATCAGCAGAGCTGCGTGCTCTCTGGCACTCAGCGCATCGCAGGGAAACAGATAGGGCATCAGGGCCAGCAGCAGCAGATTTGCATCGTAATTGTCGCTCACGGCGGCAGTGGTCAGATGCTGCACCGCTTGCGGCACCACCACATCCCATTGCGTTTGGCGCTGCTGTTGCGCCCGCTGCAGCAGCTCACAGAGTGTCTGGGCAAAAGGCTCTGCACCCAGCATCTCCACGAAGTCGACTGTGGGCAGCGCCAGCAGCGCCGACACCACAGTGGGACTGTCGTCCTTAATGCGATCCGGCAGACACTCCTGCAGCAGGTGATAGCTGCGCTCCCGCCGCTTGGGCACCTTCAAGTTCTGCAGCAGCTGCTGCACTGCGCCCAGTCGAATATCTGCATTGTAATGGTAGAGCTTCTCGTAGGCACGCTTCGCCTTCTCGTCCGAGGTGTTTAGTCGAAAGCCTGTGAATGCAGTGTGTGTTAGATAATGGTTGCATTTAGTATAGTCGATAGGAGAGGGCTATATATAATATATTTGAGGAGATCAAGTGGTAGGCTTCGTAGGACTTCACATTAAAATCGACCGTCTCGTTCAAGCACTCGAGGCATAATGATTGCGCGCTTCCAAAACTCTCACCCTGAGGGTAAGAAACCCGAACAAATACGAAGTTTAATGGGAGAAAATTTATTTCTATGTATTAGTGTTAAGCGGAGATGAAGCACTCTGATACACTTATAAAAACTAAAGAGTGAATATTACATTAATATAAGTGTGAAGTCTGAGTGAATGAAGGCCTACAAGCAAGAGAGCTTATCAGCATTGCCAAGAGTGCGTGAAGAATATGTATTTGCTCTTTGAAAGAGGGGGAATTGATTCTACTGACTCTTCATTCAGTTATAAAGTTCTTTAGTAATATGGAAACATTCATTCTATAAGCTCAACAACTTCCCAAGGTATTCAAATCTTTGCCGCCTGACTTACCCAATGCCAGTTTTAAAGCCTTCTGGCGATTGCTTGTCTTGGACTTGGCTTTCAACGAAGCCTTCACGCTCAAGTCGAAAGCCTCCGGATAACGTCGTTCTAGCTTTTCCAGGAACTCTGTATACCAAGCCTGGAAATCGGTTTTGACTGGCTCCATTTCATCGTCCGAGTCAATAACAATCGTGTCATCCGCATCGCCATTGTTGCTCGTGTCCATGGGCGTCACTCCATTCTCAGCTTTCACGTCCACAAAAGTGTCCAGGAAACAACTGAAAGAGAGGAAACATTAGTTTAGTAATTGGAATTGTGAGCGGTTAAATCTAAAGTTGTACTTGATAAGCTGAAGGGCGCTGAGCTTGGAGAAGGGCACCTCGCTGATGAGATTGTCGAGGAACTCCTGATGCGAAGATGCGGATGCATCGCCCTCACGTATGGCCGCGACGGCGCCGCGCATCAGCGGAATGCAAATGGCCGAGACAGCAATGTTCTCCTTCGCTAGCGAGGCTAGCGACGTAATTAGCCACTTCTGGCAGACCAGATTTAGCATGGTTTTGGCCGTGAATTGTGGCCGGGCCGCCTGCTGCTTGTCGTGGATCCAGATGAGCARCAGCAGCGCTGTGGTATGCAGCCGCTCGAAGGTGCAGTTGGCCACCCGCTCGAGCAGCGCATCGCAGATCTTCCTCTTGAGTTTGGTGCGCGAGACGAGCTGGGCAACGATCACATAAGAAGCAGCCACATAATCGACGGTGTCTGAGACGAGGCCCTTAAGCAGCGACTCCAGTATGGTGGCAATATGCCACTCCTGCACTGGCTTAGCCGTTTGCAGCGCTCCCACAACAACTGTGCAGTAAAAGTTGATCTGCGCCTGCAGCTGATGTGCACGTGGTCCCAGCTCCTTGACAGCTTTGCGTGTGCTGCGACAGATGAAGCCGAGGAAGGCGGGCACGCTGGCTGCCCGATTGACTATTGTGGTCTTGGCGAGCGGCACGCCGGGTCGCTGCAGCGGACGCAGCCAGAACCAATTCTCGTCCGATTGTCGTAGTCGCATCGTCTGCAGAACCTGCACAAATGTGGTCGTCTCATGGTAGGGCATTATTAGGGCCATTACCTCCTCCCGGTTGTACTCGTGCACCTGGAATCGACGCAGCAGCCACTCAAAGCACATGTGCGCCGGGCGCAACAGAAAATAAGGCGACAGAAGACGTAGAAATTTCGCAATTGCCGCATCGAGCAACTGGTTGACTTCTGCCTGCTCCACGGCGCGCTCCAGCGTGAGTGTGGCCTCATCAAAGAGCGTCAGCTGGAACTCCTTAAATGTCGGATTAAACGCCGTCAACTCCAACAACCCGCTAAGTCCGATCTCATAGATGGCGCGTCTGTCTTTGGTCGCCGCATCTTTGGGACTGAATAATATTGAGGCGCGACTGCGAGCATCCGCTAAAGGAAGAGATGTCTGCGGTGCAGCTAATTTCTGTAGTTGTTGAGCCAAAGACGTTGTCATTTTCTTAAGCTCGTTTTTGTGTGTAAAAACACTTGAAAAATATAGTCAAATGTGGAGCAATTCTTTCACACGTGCTGCGGCGGTAACTGGTATAATATGTATATCGATAAATGTGTAGGCGAGTGCAATCATCGAGTGGCGAATCGATAGCTTGAAAAAAATACGCAGTGACGTCACAAGCGAAATAATGTAATGACATTTAATTTCAACTATTTAAGTTATTAAATATGTATGATTTGAAATTAATAAAAAATATTGAAATGCTATCAATCAGAAGAAAATTATTAATATTCATGAGCCTACTTTTGATTTGTTATTAAATGATACCCTCAATATTCAATTAGAAATATCTTTTACAAAAATTGTTTATTTTCCGCTTTATCATATAATGTAAAAAGTTTCTTACATCTATTTAATCTCACAGAGGTACAAGAATGTTGAGCATACGTTACAAGTAAAGAGAAATACAAAATAATAATAAAGTTGAATGACGTTAAAAAATGTGAACATTCGTATTTGATGAGATATCGACGATTATAATACTAGTTAAACATGTAAAACAAAAACCTTGGTACAGTTGAATGTTCATATAACTAAGACTAACGGTACATATATGTGTGGGTGATTTGTTAATGCATTTTGTGTTATATGTATGTGTGTTCCTTTGTTCTTTGCCTAAAAGTTAAGTCGCTTTAGCGAATTCTTGCGACTCAGTTTGTAGTCGAATTTTTGATTGCGCTTGGGCGGCGTAACCCTTTCACTGGGCATCATCACCTTCGAGGGCGTGCCCATCTCTGTGACCAGACACTTGGCGCCAGGATGCGGCGGGCAGCAGCAGTGGACGCAGAAACGAAACTTACAGAAGACGCTAGTGCACTCGCCGATGGAGTAGGCCTGCGAGGGGCCGGTGTTCTGGAGAATCGGCGAGCTCTTCACCTCGTCCAGCGAATAGAAGCGCGTGAGCCCGCCGCTCTTTGGCTCGTTGAAGGACTTTGCGTGGGGCAACGTCTGTGAGAGAGCAGCTCGGGTCGACAGCTGCCGATTCAGTTTCGGCGTCTGCTCGACCGGTGGCTGGCTGTAGAATACTCTGCTGGATTTGCCGCAGCGCGGACACTTTATGCGTTGCAGCTGCTCCACGAGCAGCGGGCTGTTCTCATCTTTGGGCGTGATCCTGTGGCCGTTGTGGGCTTTGTTTGGTCTCTGAATGGCATTGGATGGTTGAAATGGCACTAAATTATTGTTCATCGACTTAAAAAGCATTCGCTCGGGTTTGAGGGGCAGTGGGGCGTTCTCCTTAGTGAGGTTCATCTTGAAGCGATGATTGTGCAGGCGTTCTGTAGCCCGCTTGCTCGTGTGCACCGCTTGCGCCCAGCGCTCTGACACCTTGGTCATGTTTTCCAGCGTGCTTGAACTGACGTGCGACAGAATGCACTCTAGCGCGGGCAGCGTGTTACTCAGCATGCCCACGATGTCCAGGTGCTCACAGCCGTCGTAGTAGCGGGTGCGACAAACGGAGTCCACGGTGGGTTGCGGGAAGAGTTTCTTCTTTGACTTCTTGGGACTGCTGTGATGAGCCATCGGCTGATAATGTGACTTTCGGCGTTTGGCCGCGCATTTTGGTTGGCTGGGGGACTGCAGCAGCGGCGACTTGCAAGCCTGCGCACCCTCATCCTCGCTCTCCTCCAACTGCACACAGCTGACGGAGGGCAGGCAGAACGACTTGTGCCAAGGCGCAAAGATAGAGTCGTCGCAGCTGGTGCTGTTCGGCGTTTGGAATTGTATCGAGTTGAAGTGAGATTGCGTCGTCGTATTTGGCGCATTGCGCCAGTTCTCCGTCTCGCTATCACGTTCAAATAAAAATGGCGCCTCCACGGTCGAATTGTGCTGCACTCGGAAGGATGCGTAGCCCGATTCTTCCATTGCACTGTCCGCATCCACAGATTTTCTTAAGGGGCACTGTTTTTTCAATACTTTGCGATCGTAGGCACTCATTTTGGAATGAAATAGCCAATTAAATTTATGTTAAACTTTTACATTTGTGTTTTTAATTTCAAGTTTCTTGTTTTTGTCGTCACAATTGGCGTCGATGCAAATGTTAGAGTTGGTTTTGCTAATATCGATGCAGGCGCACATCGATACCTATGCTAGTTATCGACGATGAGCCACGCAACACACAAGCTTCTTGCTATGCTATGCGTGTGCTGTCAAAAGCTTATTGATAAGAAAATTAAATTTTAAATTTATAAACAAATAACTTCACTTTTGCAAATGAAAAATTGATCAGAAACGACCTATCATATTTTATTATTTGACGTGCTATATAGCATAAGGCTTTATATAATGTCGGAGTGAGAAATTTCAATTTATTCATTTTGGTTTATTCATTTTTGTTAAATTTACAATTTTACTGAATTAAAAATAGTTTTCATATTATTATATGATTATACTAAGTGACTTATCTCTCTATGTGGAATATCTATTTCATTTAATATAGATAATAATTTCCCCTTGTGACCAAAGACGACACTTGATGATAATCTGGTCGGGGCATTAATGTCAGCAAATTAACAAAATCCACCAATAATTTATCATTCCACTCTGCTTCATGTCTCCTTCAAACTTGACTCCCGGCCCGACAACCGATATATATCTCTCCTTCTCTCTCTCTCTCTCTCTCTCTCTCTCTCTCTCTCTTTTGACAAATTTGCCAGCTCAAGTTTTTGTGCAAATCATGCCGAGGCATAGATTTCAAATTCATGTGAAAATCAAGCTGGCCACCGCAAAAACAACCCCTCGTCGTGGTGATAGTTTCATCAGCTGTCCCCATTTCGTATCGTCCACAGCTTCATCCACTTGCTGCGCTGAGAGTATATTTGTGTGTGAGTGAGAGAGAGAGGGAGAACGCGAGAGAGAGAAGAAGATGGGTCGAGGGAAAATCAATGAATGATATTTCTTTATGAGACTCAATTATTTGTTGCGGGGATTTGCTGTTCTTCCTTCGTCCTGTCATCTGGGTGCGTGCCTCATTGTCCTTTTAAATGCTTTGGCAAAATATTTTGGGTATTTTGTGCACTGCCTTTTGTCAGCCCCTGCAGGAGTCGCCAGGAGTTGGCAGGAGTCGGCGACTGCGTTAATAATTTATGAATATTTGTTCATTTATTGTTTTGCATTATTTATGCGTTTATTATTATCCCAGTCAGTTGGACTCGTCGTTGCCAAAGCCGGGACGCAAGACCGGAGAGACGGGCAAAGATTTTGTTTTGATTTTAATTAAATCGACAGACGCACATCGACTTAATTTAAAGTCATTTAGCAGTCCTAATCCCTCGCTTTGGCTCTGGTTGATAATTGCGGGCAGGCGCCAAGAAATTCTGATAGCAATTAGTGGTTTATAGTTGGGATTGGAAGGAATACGTTAACTCATTTCATATGGACTCTTAGCTGACTTTGGTATAGATAAGCCCATCTATTAAAATAATTAATAGAAAAAATAAATGAATTGGAAAGCGGATATATGTATAAATGAGATAGCTAGAGAGATCGACATAGAGAAAGAGAGTGAGAGAGAGTTAGACAGAGAGAGAGAGAGAGAGAGAGAGAGAGAGAGAGAGAGAGAGAGAGGGAGAGAGAGAGAGAGAAAGAGAGAGAGATAGAGAGAGAGATAGAGATATATGAGATAAATAAGGCAATTAAATAAGGCAAGATATTACGAGAATTACGAGAAAATTCAAAAAGGAATTTTTAAAATGAATTAACATCGATTAAGTCATCATTTCCTTATATGTAATAACTTCTACAGATATATTTGAATAGCTCTATGAATGCATATCGCTGGCAATTTGAATAATTTGCCCTTACTAGCCAGCCCAAAATTGCTGATGAATGTGCTGTGTGAGAGAGCGAGGGGGAGAAGGAGTAAGAGAGTTTGTAGGGCTTACTCCATGCTGGCGGAATGAACGTCAATATTTGCCAACAATCCGTACATATGCTCTAATTATGATCCTTTTAGCTGTGGGCAGTGCCTTTACGCATTATGTTGACATCGATGCCGTGACCTGGACACACACATACAAGTACACACCTCCCTTTTGAGGCAAGGGCGCTGATCAAACACCGAAGGACAGAAATTTCCTGTTTCTGGTCTATTTCGAATCAACTAATTATGGTAATTTTCCCGGGGAATGTCAACAAATATTTTGTAGCCAGTTATATCGTAGAGTGAGAGTGAGAGTGGGAGAGTATGGCCCCCGAGAGACGGGCTATATATATAGGTGGTATATGAAATGTTTCAGTCCAAGTGGAGCAGTCAAAACTCTTGACAAACGATGTTTACCCACTGCTCGTAGCCGTATGTACTTGGTGTATATTGCATTGTATAGTCCGTCGTTGTCCTTGGTAAAAAGGGAATACGTAACGCTCGGATTATTTTTAACCAACCCACTGACACTGACACTGGGCGACAACAACTCGTTGCCCCTTGGCCGCTTTGTGGGTGTGGACGTGTAAACGTAACTCGAACTGTACCCAATTCGCTTGATTATGTTTGATTTTGGCCGCGCGAGTCCTTCATGCCCCGCTGCCCTGTAATTTCGCTCGCTGGCCAATAAATCGCTGACCCGCCGGTTCCGTTCGGTTCGGTTAACCTGGGCGCGGCGCCAAAGCTGATTATGGCCACAATATTAATTTGTAGGTAATACGAATATAATCGCACTCATTTATCATTTTAATGTATTCGCTGTATTCTTCGCCGTGCCGTCGTCGTCGTCGTCGTCGTCTCCACAGGGCGAGTCAACTTTGGATATATATGTATGTATATTGTCTAGCACTTAATGCGATTCATATTCTAATCGCTCTAAATTAGTCTCGTGACAGACTCTTTCACTTAGCTGACAATAGCTGGTGCCGGGCGTTGGAGCTTCCCATGAAACAAAGGACACTTTGGAAGCATTTCGATAAATATAGGTCCTGACCTGTTTCTGTCAAATTATAAATATATTATAAAAAAAATAAAAATAAATAAAATAAAATCGATGCATATATTATAAATAAATAATTATATACCTTAAAAAATACGGAATGAAAATAAATGATCATTTCAAGGCAGTATTTAATTATTTTTATTAATGTGAAAGAGAATTAAAAAACTTTTGATTTTAAATATTTTTCAGAAATTATTTTATTTAAATACTACTCCTTCTATACGCACCGTTT